ATTTAGGAGTGTTTAATTTATTGTTAAATACACAGGTTTAGTAGTTTATTTTTTTAGAAGATATTTTAACTTTAGCAGACATGTTTACTCTAATTTAGACAGTGCAGCTGAAAGAAAGCGGAACATTTATTTTATTTTCCTTAATCTCCTCACTGCTAATAGATATGCTTCAATGTACTCTGAACTTCTGAAGATGGCATCCTAAAAAAACATGGAAATCGAAAACGATAACAAATGTAGAAATAGTACCATGGTACAGCTGCCTAGATCTAGTTTTCTGAAACTCCATGTACAAATATTACCATGCTCCAGCTGCCTAGATCTAGTTTTCTTAAACTCCCTGTACAAATAGTACCATGCTCCAGCTGCCTAGATCTAGTTTTCTAAAACTCCTGTACAAATAGTACCATGCTCCAGGTGCCTAGATCTAGTTTTCTTAAACTCCCTGATAGCACCATGCTCCAGCTGACTAGATCTAGTTTTTTTAAACTCCCAGAGCCCATGAAAAACTTATGCTCGAGCCGTAATTCCTTAAACCCGACTTTAAGACCCAATTTTCGACCCAAATCTGATGACAGCTTGTGTCACGTGATTGACAAGTGCAAGATCTTCGAATCGACTTAAGGAGTTAGGCCCAATGAAAATAAAACCGACCTTGGTTAGTTTTAGTTGAGAATAAGGCTCAATGTTGAGTTAGGTTCTCATAAAAACTCGGAATGCGCCAATTCCTACCATGAAAATTCACCAAATAGAATATTAAACCGGTTTCTTAAACTCAACTCTGTGGAAAATAAGATGCAGCTTGAATCCTAAAGCTCAAGCCGTAAATAAGGCCCAACGACAGCTCAGACCCGAGCCGTATTTTCTCGATTTTTAAAAATTTAAATAGTACCGCTCAAGCTTCCTAGATCTAGTTTCATTCTAACATTAATTCCCAGTTCAGGTTCATTCCATAAACATGCAATTCTTTAATTATACTCTATACACTGATTTAACTTTCTGATATCAAGATATAACGATATAAACACACATTAAAGGGTGTCACGTAAAAAAACTCAGCAACTCTAATTTTCTATGTTTTATATCTTTGCATCGTGATGGTATAAACCTTTGATATTTCAAACTTTGTTTAACCTAGCAGAATATTCATAGTTTTAAACACCAGATTACAAAGATATAAGACTAAGAAAATCTGGATTTAAATATTAAGTTCCTATTGGATTATTCACCAAAGAAAAAAATTCAAAATTTGATATTCATAAAAAAATTCTATGTTTAAACTGAGACACCCTGTATGTGTGTTTATAGCAGTAAATGTTTGTTTACAATCTCTAGGGAGCTATTACGAGAGGGTATAATGGGCTCAAGGTTAATTTATAAATTCAAAATAATTGAAAAAATAGCATTTATAAAACTTTTCTACATAATTGGCGACATTACGGCTTCCTGGATCGTTTAATGATATGTTTTGTCCGCCGCTGTCTGATCCAAACCAAACAAAATATTTCAGATTGGGAAGATTCTACATCATCGTCGCATATATCAATACAGTGAAAACAATTTTAGATTTCAATTTTGATTTTTATCAAGCTTTTAAACAGCATGGATACATAACATGGATAAAAAGAGAAGCTGTACATAAAAATCTTCTCTCCTTACCACAAATATGGAATTTATTGTTAAGAGAACTAAACATCTCTTCTTCTTTAAATTCTTCTAAAAAATAAATTGCATGTGGAAAAAAATCTACGATTTTCATGTTTAAGATCCAATTGTTATTTATGTATCTATAATACTTAAATTCTGATCAAACTACATTGACCCCAACTTCTAGTACTTCCTCCCTACCTTATTGACAAAAGACCTGAAATTGTATGATTTAAAAATCATGTTATATATGATAACATCTGGCTAATCTGGGTTTCCCACTAAGGGACGGCCCACTTGGATTTAACGGTTCTGTCAATATTCCAGAAAACTGTGACTTGCGATCACAATTTGACCTAATAAACATAATTTGTTAGCCTTTTCTATAACATACTTTTTTGTTGGCATATGCATTTTAAATGAAAATGTATGACATAAACAAATCCGTAAAGTAAATGATTATTGTATTATAAAACAAAACACGTTTGATTTCAAATAGAAGAAACCGAATGCTGCTCACTCTGGTTAATCCGGTGTGGGCCATTGTTGGCTTGGCATAAAGTGTTTGTTAAAAAAATATAACTAAAATTAATTGCTTTAGTGAGAAAAATATATTTTGAATATAGTTTCAGTAAAAGTAAATATTTTCATTTACCGATAGCGCCGATTGAAGGATTCATAACTCTGATTGGATAATGAGATAGATAGAAAGATAGATGTTACCACCATACTATTTCTATTGGTTCAGAATAGACAACAAACACATGACTGAACCTTGATTGGATCAGGTGCTGATGGACTCGGCATACAGGAGTGTTAGCTATCTATATTAATTTTAAGCATTATTTAAATAACCCATGACTAAAGAGTGCAATCATAGATTGCCAAAAGAATCCTGCAAACGATTTTCAAGGAAAACGACAAACATAGGACATTTTCTTGCTTGTTATTTCAAGAAACATTTGTTATGTTTTTTTTCAGGATTATTAGTTTTCAGGCAAAAAAATCTGTGCGTGAAGAATAAAATAAATCAAATTTAATGTACAACATTATGAGTTATGATAATTTTCTTTAAAATTTCTATAAAATTTAATACTTTGTTATCTAAAGTGGTTAAAAAGAGTATTATGCTGAAACTATGTTAATGTAAATAATTTATCAAAATAAAAGTATATTCAAAATAAATGTCGACATAAGGAGCTAAAGTTCTCAAATTTATTTTTATAAATGTACTTTCATTAAAAGGCCAATGTACTTTCAAAGGGTTAGATTAATGGCGTGTTTGACTAATAACCATATTTTCCTTCGCATACAACCATAAATCGGCAGGGGATATTTAAGCTTGTCATTAATTTTCAAGAAAGCGGGTCTGAATCTATTTTTCATCATTACCCCCCATCCCCCAAACTGTGCATTATGGTATTGTGTACCCTATCCCTGAATCAAGCAAAAAACTACCAAAATAATTTTGTCTTTTATGGGTAAAAAAATTCCAAAATGAAGAATTTTTGAGTGTCTATTCTATAAAAACTGACTATTTTGCAACTCATTTTTCTCATTTATTTACAAAAAACAAGCTTAAAAGATACGCCCAGGAACTCCATGATGAGTTCTTTATAAAGTCTACTGCTGAAGTTTTTGGTATAAATATAAAGAAAACTGAGCCTAGGCAAAGATGGTATAGTAGAAAATAAGAATTTTTTCAAATAGTTTGTACGCTACGTACACTTGTATATCGTTATTGGCTTAGAATTGGGTTTGAACTCAAGAAATAAATATAATCTAAGAAAAAAACAATCTTAATCAAACAATATTTTCAGATATCATTTAATTTAGTCTTCTTAGAGGTAAGTTCAATCGTTCTTTGCGTTTGATAGTACTCTCATGTCCGATATGAAGTGAAGTATTTATCCTGATAAAAGCATACAGTTTCTGTACTCTACAATAATAGTTTATAAACTAGAGAAATAAGTTTCTTATTTGTACCGATATCGTGCATAATTAACCATTTTTCATTCATTATGGTTCGATTTAGTTTTAATTATATAATTTTTGGCATTTTTATTACTAATACTATTAATATCATTATTGATTTTTCTACCATATTCATCATCATTATTGACCTTATTCTTATCTTAATATTCTATATTACCTTTATAGAAGAAAATCAACGAAGACCAAAACTCAAAAGAAGTAAAAATTGAAATGTAAGATCACTCTTGTTTTAGACAGTTTTAACCAAAGAGAATAGAGTGGAATTTAGACAATCCTTCGGTATGAATTTTGTCAGTCCCTTTCATCCTGAAAGGGAGTTCAAAGTGTACTAAATCATATAAATATTCACAAATTATATGCAGTAGAGTACATTAATACAGTATGTTACCTAGACTATTCATTTCAATTTCGAATTTTTTAAAGCTGTAAAATAAACTTTATAAAATGAGTTAGGTGAATAAAAAACATCATTTGATTTATAGTAATAATGGAAAATCATCGTTTGTAAAGTGAAAGGCATAGAGTCTATGTGAAATGATCATTGGTCAATTATGAAACCAGCCTATTTCATAATTTGGTTTTCTTTTAATATTAATTTTAGATTTTCTATAAAATGATGTTCCAGGGCCCAAAAGGTTATATAGCACAAATATGTGAAGTACACCTGCAGTATGGAAACAGTACAACAAAATGGCCGTTTTACACTTTTTCTAGTAAATTTCACTCTAATATATATTCTATTCTCTTTGGTTTTAACTGTTTGAAGAACTAGATTCATGTTAAATATATCTCAAGATTTGCACACTGTTAAAATACGCATACACTGAGAAAATAATTCTATATTTAATACTGCAGAGCTAGTCAAGATATGAACTGAAAGATTAGGAGTTTCAACATTGATCTCTATACTCTGAAGCTTTCGCAATAGAGTGATTAGACAATCTAAATAATTACACTTTTCTTATTCTAATCTAATCTAATCTAATCTAATCTAATCTAATCTAATCTAATCTAATCTAATCTAATCTAATCTAATCTAATCTAATCTAATCTAATTTTTTTGTCTTCGTCGCTCGTGAGAAACCATTCGTTGACATGTAATTCAAGTTGAATTTCGGTCGTTCTTGTTCTATTTTAATGAAGACGGAAATTAAGAAAATGCAAAGAGCTGTTTAAAGATTATTATTCCGTGTTTTAATATAGTATAGGTTTTAGTGTCATGAAATTCTCCTGTTTAACAGCTAATAAATTGGATATAATTAACTTTATATTTTATATTGGAAAATATGATTAAAGCGGGGTCGGACATTTTACAAAATTTAAATAAAATTTAGTTTGCATATTTGCTTTAAACTTACCCGAGCTCATAATTTATAGTTTTATTTTTTCTAATTCGAACTCCAGACATTTCCTTTAGAACTCGCTGCCTTCCAAATATCTCGAGTCCATAGATTTCTAAAAATAAATGTTTATTCAGCTAATACACTTTATCATTTATTATTATAATCACAAGCAAAATCATTATATAAATTTGAAAATAACAAATCTATCAATAACAAAATTATTGTTTTTGCAGAAACTAATTCATTAAAAAGTTATCTATACTCATTCTTATTCCACGGTATTTCCCAATATGTTTGTCAATAATATTCAAATCTATTTTAAAGGAACTGAGTTTTTGCCACAAATACTTTTTCTACTCCCTATATATATGCATCCTGGTGGTGCAAAACTTTTATATTTGATCTAGTAAAATAAATATTTTGAAATATCAAAGTTCTACAAAATTAGGTTAAAAAGATAAAGGGATAAGAAAAAACAAAGTTTCCAATCATTTGCGAAATATTTCCATTGCATATGAGATAATCGTCTCGTATTTAGCCTCTAACTGTAGCCTCTAGCTAAGGGTAGATGTAATTGTATATGCTTGGTTAAGAAAGGTTAAACCCACAATTTCTCAAAGTTGTTGACAGTTTTGCAATCTTAATAGCTTCCAGAACAAAATTTATCTCGAAACAACTGGAATCCTTGGTTTGCACTTTCCCGGCTATTTATGTAGCTTCTGTCCTCTTCGCCATAACCCCTTTTTTCCCGCTATCCCCCCACCTTTTATTATTTCCTCCCCCCCCCCTCCACTTATAGTCATACTATTAAAACATTCAACTCGAACAAGTAAATTGTTAAAGAGCATATAGTTCTGGTCGATGTAATATGATTCATATTTACTACAATAGATCATCCATCTTTCTTCATCTATTTACCAGCAACAAAAATAACAGCAGTTCATAGACCAGAAACCATCAACCCAAGTTCATATCAACTACTATTATTTATCAACTATATATCAACTATCAACCCAAACTTACATCATCTAATATTATTTATCAACTATATATCAACTATCAACCCGTGCTTATATCATTAACTTTTATTTATCAGCTATATATCAACCCGAGCTCATGATATTTACTATTATTTATCAACTATTTATCAACTATCAACACTATAGCTCATATCATCTAATATTAGTTATCAACTATATATCAACTATCAACCCGAGCTTATATCATCTTCTATTATTTATCAACTATACGACGGCTCAAATTCATTAAATTCGGACTCAATAAAGTTTAAAACAACCCAGAGGGAAATGTATTGGTTAAGCACGTGCAGTACTGTTTGAAAAAACTTGCAAAGCTCAATGAATGGCATTATTCGAATCTTTCAGGGGTCAGCGTTTATATCAATACATTGAAGACGACTTTATTATTAAAGTTTTGATTTCTAACAACTCTTTTCAAATTACAGCTTATCTTTGTTTCCATGTTCATGTTTATCCATGCTGTTTAAAAGCTTGGTTGAAATCAAAGTCGTCTTCATTGTATTGATATATACGACGACAACTGTAAAAAAAGGAAAATAAGCAAATCAGCTGTTTTTCTTTAAAATGTTGAAGGGAGAGAAATGTTTCCGTGCTCCAAAACTCCAAAAATATTTCAAACCTGCAGCAAACCATGAGATATCATTATCCACAAGCTAAGCATTATCAATCATATAAACACATATAAATTCATTAATTAAAGGGACTGTGTACTGGTTAGATCAAGGAACATAAAGGATTACGCTAGATTAAATCGTGAATTTAGGAAATTTTATCAGTGGTAATTTAATTGTGGAAAGTGCGTACTTAATGGCCACATTGAGAGCAAAAATAGTCATGGATTTTCAAAATAGAAAGAAAAACAACAAAATAAGAACATGGCAATATTTCTGGTTCTGTCAGAGCTGCTAAATGGTGCAAAATATTCAAAAAAAAAATAGATAAAATCAGTATTTTGTAATGAAAAATAGTAAAATTAGAAACTGACGAAAAGTAAAAACAAAAGCAAATACTTTTTTACTCTATAGGGTGATTGAATGCGCAAAATTCTAGTACATTAGGATTTTGAATTTTAAATGATAGATTAATAATTGTCTTCGATTATTCTATTTATTTTATTTATATGTTTAATCTTTTTAGCAAGAATTTTTTTCAAAATGACAGTTTAAATAGTTTCGACAGTTTAAGATAAGTCGGGTTTAATCTGCAAAGAGGACATGCATTTTATTAAGCTTTACAAAATACTGCCTCATACAAGGTATTTTAGAAAGGGACTGTTTTACAGCTTTTATTCAGACTCGAAATAACCATGAAAACTACAATTCAACGACTCCAATAGAATTTTAATTGCAAACTATTGTCAACAAACCCTCTTGTTCCGTTGAGTGCACACTCCCTTTAATGAACTACCTGACACTGTTAAAAATATTTATTAATACAAGGAAGAGAGTGACTAGTAGAGCCATCCTAAAATAGTTCTAATATTATTAAGCTACCTGACACTGTTAAAAATATTTATTAAAACAAGGAAGAGAGTGACTAGTAGAGACATCCTAAAATAAATCGATTCAATCAAACTTTTAAATTTTGAAATTTTCCTTAAAAAGATTGTTCACTCATTTTAGAAGAGTTTGCAGTGAAGACAGCGAGCATAAAAACATCGCAATAATTGAGAAAAACTTAATAATAAAAATACATTTGTAATGGTTTCCTTGATTTAACTTTTTTTTTTGGAAATGCATTTTTTTTAAATAAGTGAACTTTCTCTTCAAACTTTTTCAGGCTTTGATCTCCAAAATTTTACAGCGTTACTATTATAGTTTAGTTCAATAAAAAAAATTATTATATCTTCTTAAATGGCAGAATTTTGAGTACAGACATTTTAGAGCTTTTGAAAACTGTTTTGAAATCTGTTTTGAAAAACGTTTTAAAGTGATTTTAGCACTTCACTAAAATAATTACATGCCTCCAATTCGTAACTGTAAACCTTGACCTATATCCTTTTTTTCTTTTTGAAAATTAATCATTTTTAATTACGATTTCTGAAAAAGTCCACTTAGAAAAACGGCAATATCTTCTTCATTGTTACTAAGATAAAGATTTAAGAGCACTGTTATAATTCGGGTATTTAACTATTTAAATGAAGGGTCATTTGAAATTAAATTGACAGCCCCTTTATTCCAAAAATATGTTTAAAAAACATTGATTATATACCTTCCAGGAACAACCTCAGGTTTAATGAGGAAACTGACCCAGCTCACGATTACGAATAAGGATGTTGGAAGATAAACCTGGAGAAAAACATTTTGAAATGAAATATAAAATTGTCTGCAAAAAAGAGATAGGAATAAGCAATGAAAAATAATAGAAACAAATATGATACTATACAGCTTTGTCAGCAATGGGAGACGTTGAGAAGCCTTTCCGTCCATATTTAAGCAAATAAAAATTCTTAAAATTATAAAAAAGATCTCGTACAGTGATAACTAGAAAACTCTGAAATAGAAAGACAACTTTTAAACTCAAGTTAGGACTTAAACTAGTTCAATGAACATTAGACATGGCAATTGTACAGTGTAAATAGACCCTTTTCGTTTACATTGTAATTAGCCAAGTTACTAGTAAACATATTTGCTTTGCAACAACTTCAACTTGCTGTAATGTTGTCGTTCAATTCAATTTTTTTCTTGTTATCACTGTAGATTTACTAAATTTTGGTGGCCTTAAAATCTTTAGAATAGTTGAGTTTTGTTTGATTGATGTTGAATGCTTGAAGGATTTATTACATATAATATGTATAAAAGCATAAAATTATTTTTGCGTGATGTTAAATATTTATATGTATAGTTGTTTTTATCGGATACATAAAATATAATTATATGGATACAATAAAAAATTATCGTTTTGCTAAGGAGGAACCCAGCTTGAAAGACATAAAATATTCATCATGTTTGTCGCTTTAGATATAGTAATTTTATAATTGGTCTTGTTTCTTAATTGTAAAATTGATTTAATTTTTAAAATGAAGACAAAGAAAAAATCCTATCCTTATGAATATCTGCATAAATCAAACTGAATTAACGGTTTGCTTTGTCACTTTTGATCCAAAGGAATTTAGTCTTTGTAACAAATCCCAATTTTCTAATACCTATATATGTACAACCAAATTATGTAAACCTTTGATATTTTGATTGTTTGATATAACAGAAGTCATAGTTTGAAATATCTAAGGTCTACAACCTTGGGTTATTAAGATATAGGGATTTAAAAATCAGAGTTTGTGGCAAAGACTCAATTCCTTTTACCACATTAAAGATGTATTTTCCACTTTTTTTCTTCACTTTTTTTGTAAGTTTAAAAATTGTTAGATTATTGACCAAAACGCACTTGAATTCAAATTGAAAAGACAGACACATCTAGCCCGGATAGTCCTGAGTGAACTTATTTAATTTAGCTTTGAAAAATTATGAAATAGGGTCAATCTCCAATTAAGTTCGATCATTGTAAAATTGTAAGAAATATTCAATTAAATTAAACTCGAGCTTTCACTTTAGACATCTTAACGATATACTCTCCGAATTAGAACGGAATTTAAGGTATGCTTAAACTTGTTAGATTATTCCACATCAGAAAGGTCTTTCTTTACAAAGAAAACTTTAAAGGGAGAATTTATAAAAAAAAGAGGGAATTATTTGATTTTATATCTTACATAATAAAATTTTGAAAATTAGAAGATTTTTTCTGTTTATATACTGATGAGTTTAAAACCTTGGGGACCTGATAAGTTCAGACGTTTTGACGTTTATTGAATACAAACCAACCAACCCACAGACACCCATACATAAACCAACTGTTTACGAAGTTACCTGAACAATGTACTGCATTTTCTTTCTCTGAAGTCGAACCTGGAACCCACAGGCAGCATATTCTCCTGTACAGTTATTTTTGTACACGCTTTCATGTTCAGATACAGTGCAGTATACGCTGTTTATTGTCTATGTACAGTAAGCGTGATCAATATTGGAACTAAGCCAACCGCCCACCGAGGCCGGGTTTTTCTGCGTTTTCACTTATGAAAAATATTGCAATAAAAAAATCAAAATCGTTTGATGAGTTTACTAGCTCTAACTCATTCAAGTTTTTAAGCGCTTTTCAGATTTGAATTCAGCATAGAATTCAGCACAAAAAAGAAAATGATGTATAATAGGGAATTTTTCTAAATATTTTTCTTCGGGGCCTTACAGTAATTTCTCTTTAATTCGCAACCGTATTGACGATATTAAATTATTTTGTTTGCAATATTTTTATTGAGTGAAAACGCAGTAACCTCTCTTGTGGGCGGTTAGCTGATTTCTAAAAAATCACAAATTAATGTACAGTGTACAGCGGTTTTACATTGTACACGTACCACTGTACATTTAAAATATCAAGATTATATGAAACCCTTATGATTAGTACATTTTTAATCTTATCATTTATCATTTTTAGACCCAAAAAATAAAAATGTGTTTTTATTAACAGTTTAGGCTGTACCTATATTTCTTATGTTATTTATTTCTAAATTGGTAAACTCTTGCCCAGTGTCCATTTTGTGTATTTAGTATTTGTTTAAAGATAATTAGTTTCGATCATCTGTGTAATTTACTTCCAGAGAACCCAGCTAATTAGATTAATTACTCCAAGGATACACACGAATACAAAACCCTTTATGAAGATGAAGAAAACCGACCTAAAGAATCTTGTATATAAGAATAAAACATGTACAAATAAAAAGACCATATCTTAACAATAAGATTTTATGTTACGTCAAATTAAAAACAAACACAAATATTCAAATTTTCAAAGTAATGACTTACAGATTGCAGTTTTTATACTTTTTTAGCGGAAACTAACTAGTTATCGTCTTCATTCGTTATTTGCTGTTTGATGTTAAGATACATCTTTTGTCAAAAATCGAGAAGAAATAAAATTTTTAAAGAAGAAAACGTCAGTCCACTGGGATGTAAGAATAAATACCTGAAGGTAAGCGTACGCTTCTATATTTCTCTGGTATATCTTCTATCTGTATAAAATGTTGAAGGCTGCGCTGACGCTCTGCGTCATAAATAAAATGTGAATTGCAGGTTACTGTCTCGTAGGTATCATAGTCTAAAAATAAAATAAAAACTTTAAATATTTTTTTTGTCACTCATAATACAATAATGTCATAAATGTTTCAGTCTTAGAACATTTTTTGAAATTTGATTTAAAATTTTTTAACTTTTACTGTTCTGTACTCGATTGTTCTTCACCTTACTTAATTGCCCTTTACTGTACTCGATTATACTTTACAGTACTCGACTGTACTTTACTGTACTCGATTATACTTTACTGTACTCGATTGTACTTTACTTTACTCAATTGTACTTTACTATACTCGATTGTACTTAACTCTACTCGATTGTACTTTACTGTACTCAATTGTAATTTACTGTAATTTATTGCACTTTACTGTACTCGATTACAATGTATAGTACTGTATTTGATTGTTCTGTAATGTTTTCGAATTTCTCTTACTGTATACGTAGGGATGGCTAGATTCGTTTTACAGAAACTTTTAATATTTTTAGACTTTTGATAAGGTTTTACGACACCAACGATTTGAAATTGTATTCTGTAGAAGTTTGCTTCAAAAAAAGATGCCAATTTGTTATCCTAGGTGAAAATTTGAGGCAAAAAGAACCAAAAACTACCATTTTAAAAACTTAAAATCTCGTTTGCCTTATATTTTCTACTAGGTAACAAATTTGCATGTTTGATAAAAGCAAACTTCTACAGAATAAAGTTTTAAAATGTTGGAACCTTCTCATATTGTAATGTACTGCTAAAATCAGTTATATTACTTCATTGTAATATAGATTTAAAGATTTATTATGTATTATGCAAAATACTCGATATTCCAATAAAATCAAAATAAATATAAATGATAAATATATCTGTCAAAAATAACTGACTAAACAGAAAAAAATGCATTTTGATGAAATATAGACAATGTCTGGCATCAATTAGACGACACCCAACAGAAACTTACCGAAAAGCGGTTTTTTAAAAAAATAATGTTTATATAACCGACCTTTGAAAATAAAACCAACCAACTTTATCAAATCTGTGTTAAAACTAGTTAAACATTTTTCTAATTTTCTTAAATCATTCAAGTTGTTGCAACTTAATCACAATAAAAGCTTAATAAATTATAAATAAATTTAATGAATTTAAAGAACTTACAACTTCCAACTTGAAACTGACAGGTGTGGGCATCCAGGGGATAATCATCAAAATTCATCCGACAAGAGAACGTTATTCTCACCCTGAGAACAGAGCAATACAGTTACTTCTTTGTCTGTGCTTACAAGCAATAATAAGCCATCAGAGATAGAAAAATCTGATAGTAATGAAAATAGTCCCAATCAATCATTGCATAATTTGATCAGTTTTGGATTGTTCGTTACACCGTTTCGTTGAGTACCACTCCTATTAAGAATATTTGTCTGATCAATGAATTATATATTCATGTTTCTCTTCATCAATAATTTTTAATTGAGACTTGTGCATTTCCATAGCAGAAAAAATGTAAGTACTAAACCCTTGTCAAAGCTAGAAATACGATGATATCGACGATATCGTCCACATTATTGATCATATAAAGGTATTAAGGATACCGTTGTAAATCTAGCATGCTCCTCTAAAATGGAGGGTCACTTAAATTACATTAACAGTCCCTTTATGCTTATAGGGTACTGTGCTGGATTTATATCAATGTTTCTGCTCAAGTAACAGAAAACAAAGCTGTCAAATGCTTTTCTTTAGTCCAAACTACAACTATACATTTTTCACTTCAAATATATCTGCATTTTTAGTTGTTATTACACTTTTCACTAAAAATATATCTGCATTTTTAATAATATATAACTAAATAATTTAGTAACCTTATCCAACTCAACTTTCTGTCGAAAAAAATGGATAAGTTAAAGACTGGGTAAGTTTCGTTGTCCTTTTTAAGTAAATATCTGTAGCTACTGTTAAAAAACCAGGTTAATTGTATTTATCGGGTATCCATAGTTAGTAGCTAGAAAGTTCATGAATTGGGTCTGGTTAGTATATCAACAGGTAAGTCTCTATATATGGACTGTTTAAGGACTGGGTAAGTATCTCGAGGCTAGAAAGGCGGGTAAATCTACAGTAAAAGGACTGGGTAAGTATATCTCTAGCTTGAAAGGTTGGATAAGTTCTAGTTTGAAAGTTCGGTTAAAATTAAAACATTTTCGAGCGAGAAAACGACGTTATCTTCCACATTTTGGTTAGATTAAATCGGGAATTACCATCTTTCCATGGGTAAGTATCCATATTCTGTACAATGACAACTAAAGGTCTAGGTAAGTATCTGTATTCTGTACATAGACAGCTAAAGGACTAGGTAAGTATCTGTATTCTGTACATAGACAGCTAAAGGACTAGGTAAGTATCTGTATTCTGTACATAGACAGCTAAAGGACTAGGTAAGTATCCATATTCTGTACAATGACAGCTAAAGGTCTAGGTAAGTATCTGTATTCTGTACATAGACAGCTAAAGGACTAGGTAAGTATCTGTATTCTGTACACAGACAGTAAAAGGACTAGGTAAGTATCTGTATTCTGTACATGGACAGCTAAAGGTCTAGGTAATATCTGTATTCTGTACATAGACAGCTAAAAGACTAGGTAAGTATCTGTATTCTGTACATAGACAGCTAAAGGACTAGATAAGTATCTGTATTCTGTACATAGACAGCTAAAGGACTAGGTAAGTATATGTATTCTGTACATAGACAGCTAAAGGACTAGGTAAGCATCTGTATTCTATACATAGACAGCAAAAGGACTAGGTAAACATCTGTATGCTGTACATAGACAGCTAAAGGACTAGGTAAGCATCTGTATTCTGTACATAGACAGCTAAAAGGCTAGTTAAGCATCTGTTTTCTGTACATAGACAGCTAAAGGACTAGGTAAGTATATATAGAATTGAAAGAGCTAGAATGTATCTCCTGTCCATAAAACAACCTATTATTCTGTTTTTGTGTCCCAAGTAAAAGATATTTATGTGTTTTCTACATGTACAGGGTGTCCCAATAAACATGGAAATATAGTGACAGACGACTTGAATATCGTCGTTGATTTCTGATAATTGATAAATTACAAAAAGTACATAACAAAGATTGAAAGTCTAATGCGCTTTTCAAAATGTGGCCTGCCTTCTTTGTATCTTTTAAAATGAGGGAGATATTAACAATTTCACCAGTTTTGTTGATTGTTTATAAACTGGAATCTGACAAATTTCCTAATATCTCCGTCAATTTTGAAGGTAAAAAATGTTAGACCACATTTTGGAAATCCCGAGACTAGTTGTTTTCGGTGTTAAATGTTTTAACAGTACTACTACAAAATTATGTTTACAAAATAATAAAACAAAGACGATAAAGAAGTCGTCATTTAATTCCCATGTTTAATTGTGACACCCTGTAGTATACGTCTAGTAATAAATACTTGAAGTTGGACAGGTAGAAAATACAGGGTTTAAGACAACCAGGATAAATAGATATATCTCAAACTTAATAAAGAGACAGTGCTTGAATTCCATCCTAAACTCACAGAAATAGTTTTCTGATGAAGCCAGGGGCGGATGCATGATTTAAGTGAGGAGGATATGCTAGATTTGTTTCGAAACAAACAAATCCAGATTTAGAACCAAAAGGCAAGCTCAAGGTGAAAATTTTTTGGACTTTCCTGCTTTGCACTAGGTTTCTTACCCTTAAGTGCTATTGAGAAGCTATTCTGAAATCTCAAGGGGGGGGGGGTGATAAGGTCCTGCCCCCTGTATCCACCCCTGGATGAAGCTGACAAAGTGACTTCCCGATTAAGATTTGCATTCCTGATTCACAACGGCACTCTATACACCTTTATTTTTATTCCAGGAAAAGTGTATTTTGTTATTTTATATTTATTGCCTTTGAAATTACGTGGACAGTTCCTTTAAACTTTTCTCTGCAGTTCATAAATTGAAATTACGTGGACAGTTCCTTTAAACTTTTCTCTGCAGTTCATAAATTGAAATTACGTGGACAGTTCCTTTAAACTTTTCTCTTCAGTTTATAAATTGAAATTACGTGGACAGTTCCTTTAGACTTTTCTCTGCAGTTCATAAATTGAAATGCGACGCATGTAAAGTTTTCAATGATGGATATAATTGTAATCTTAAAGACAGAATTTACATAATTCAATGAAAAACTTCAATTTCTAGTTTAATAATTCTACAGAAGAAAAGAAAGTTAGCTAGATGACTTCTTAATATAAAATACATATTGAGTAAATATTTACTTGGGGGGAAAACTGCAGCTTTGAAATTTTCCTGGACATTGCTATTTTATATTTCTAAAGTGAAGGATGACCGCAATAAAACGATAGTTTGGTAAAAATTATTTGATAAATTTACGGATTGGCATCATAGGTGAGCAGCATAGGCAGAGCTGACTTATAAAAGTTTAACAAATTCTTTTTAACAAAACCTTGGATTCAGAAATTCATTAAATAGTAAATTTTTCGGTGCACATTCTCTTAAAGCTTCTAATTTTGAAAATTTTTTGAAAAAAGATAAATTATAAATTGTGTGAAACCAACTAATATTTATGTTCATTAAACCTGTCAAACTCGGATTAAAATTTTTTATTTTGAAATCTTTTAAAACTGTGTCTGATCAAGTATGATGACGATATCAATCTTTTAGTTTCTTTAACGGTTTATTTTCATTTGGGATTTCTCCGCGAAAAGGACCTGCGCATTTATTTTTTATAAGAAGCAATGGAGATCTTGACAGTCACAGATATAAACACCTTTCGGTATCTTACACATTTTTGATCATATTAAGGTTTCAAGGGTACTATTGTAAATCGTGCATTGCCATATTCGCATTGAGGCCGGAGGGGTCTCTTGAAATTATGATTACATCCATTTAATAAGGTTACTAAAATTTGATAAGAACTATAGTTTAGTGCAATATAATACTCTCTAAATATTTTACCAATTTAGATTAATAAAATAATGATATTTGTCAAATATAAAATATAAAATATTTTACTGCAATGGTGCAATGTAATCGATCTAAAAGTACGAAGGTTCATATTTTTGTTTATAATTGTTTTACTGCATCTAAAAATAAATATTTCTTGAGCTTTTTTAGATAATAAAAAAATCAAAGAGGACAAAAAATTTTATCTTTTTTCTGAGAATACAAATTGTTAAAATATTTTAGAATTTAAACNCTGTTGTGCAAATTGCAAATTTTGTTTAAATTCTGAAGGAAAAGTTGGAGTTGTCAAATTTACTTATTTACTGAGAATAATCAAGGATGCGGAATAATATTTTGATATTTTAGAACACTGCGCGGCAAAGGATCATTAATTGCGGGGAAATGTCGATCAGAATTCGAAGAGACAAAATATCTTTTTTTTCACGGGAAAAGGTCATTATATGATTCCACATTATATTTATAAGTACAGAATGAAGATGATTGATTCTCCTGTATTTTGAATAAACAATTTCCCATATTTCTAGATAAATCATGATGTAAGAGTAAGGCGCTAGTTTTTCAATTCATGTAAGTTTTTGTATTAAATATTTAAAAGAAAATATGTTCGAAAAATATGAGTTAAAATTGTACCTTAATTAGAAAATATTTTTTTGAAATTTGTGAAATGTCCCAAAATTGTTTTAATTTTTAAAACGCTACGTACATACATGACATTGATAATGTTAGTTTAGAATATGTGCAGATATGTGTTTGAAATAAAAATGAACAAAAAAGTATCAGAAAATTCCAATTTTTCTTGTAAACTTGTGTTCTCCCTCCAAATGAATTTCTATTGTTGTAATTTTAACTGACTCTTTATTCATAAAGCTAGGAAGGAGCCCTTTGAACCTTTATCTGATCAATAATAGGGATATTATCGTTATTTCTCTGCCTTGAAAAGTGTTCTGAAAATTAAACCATATCATCTTTAAAAATGCGCAAATCAAGTTTTTATAAGAAATTAATATTTAAGAATAATTTGATTTAAAAAAAAGAAAGATGCATATGATTCTTAATCTAACAAAGTATTTAAAGGGACCGTTTTAAATTGGACATGCCACTTAAAAATTAATTAACAGTCCCTTAAACGAATGTGATACAAGATAAAAACTTTAAATCATTTCCAAATTTTAATCTTCCAAAAGCATTTGATAAAAAGGGGGTTCGTGTAATCCTTTCCTTCTTATCTTACTTATATTGCATCGCCGTCTGGTCATGACTCCCCCCCCCCCTCCTCCTATGTGGTAACCCCGTTTTAGATCTCTCCGAATGTTAAATTTATAAACTTTAACCCTTATTTATTAAAAAAATCAGGGCAAACCTATTCTGAATGAGAAATTAAGTTTGGGCAACATTTGGATTCCATGAGGATTGGGTCGG